GTCTAGAACACTAGTCTTAGCTTCCGCAATGAGAATCCTATATTTCAAACATACTTGATTTATATACAAACAATATCAGACCACATCATACCATGAAATAGAAAACAACAATCATTCAAGATCAGGCCAAAAGTGGCTGTGAGTGTGAGTGACTATAACTAATAAACTGGGTAGAAATTAAGAACAGTAAATCGTATAGTAGTCATAGTCAATAAGTCAAATGGAAGCTTAGAATGAAAGGAATATGAATATACATATGAAAGAGTCACTTAATAGTCATACAATAAGAATATAGGATAAGATTAGTCCATAAACAACTCCTAACGGTTACCCTGCACTTATTCATTGTTCGGATATAACAGAAACATTTTAAACGAGAGAGAAATTTTCTTCAATTATTTATCTTTTTGTTAAAAAAACGTTTGATCTTCCCTTTTGAGTAAACGTCATAAAGAAATCTCTTTATTCATGACGAAACGTTCGTCCAGTGCTTCCAAGCTTTCCATGATGGTCTAGCTTCAATTGGCTCAGGATCTCAACTATTGAAGTTTGTTTTTGTCAATTTGAATCCAATGGAAATTAGTAAGTACGTTTAGTGTATATTCAGAGACTGAAGCGTATTGTAGCTGAGATGAATAGCTTACTGAGTATCAAGATAGAAACATAACAAATAGGATCCTCAATAACCGTTGTACATATACTGCTATGATAACATGTCAATTAAGGTTAGTTGACTTTTGGTATGTGCTACTGATGTCAATAGATATAATTAGTATGAATCATCAACTGGAAGTCAAATACCTGACGGCAGAAGCTATAAGAAGATTGAAGAAAAGAAAATGAGAACAGAAAGTGATTGGTGTGGAAACGAAGGAAACATGAAATCTGAGATGATTGATTGACATTTTGCAAATGAATTATTTACTGAATGGATCTCAGATTTTTACTAAGAGATTCTATAATTTTATGTTCAAATACATTCGATTGTCCCAACATGTGTTCTCATTCACTACAAACTGTCAAATAGTCTGGTATTTCTATGTTGGTAATATCGGCTCCACAATTCAAATCCCTTCAAAATGCATCTCTAAGTAACACTCATTCTGACTGTCAAAGGGTAAGTAAGTCGACTGACAGTTCAATTTTTGAACACTTCGTAAATTCCAGTCTATTTGCCACATAATCATTCTTTTCGAAGTCGTCCATACAGTCAAATGAGAAAGCTTTATGATGGTAGAAACTTACGCACTACAGAGAATCCAGACAATAATCGATTCAAGTCTCAATTCTGTGCATAAAAACAATACATGAAATCTTTCATTCACCCTTAATCTGAACACTCATTTTCTATCTTACATACTCTTCTATTACTTCTTGCCATTAAAACATCATAAATTGATTGAAGTTAAGAGATATCAATAATTAGATGTCAGCTTAGTTGTCTTACGGTTATGAAATGGGAACTGTACTTAAACATTGAGAGTTCAACCACTAGTGTTGTAGGTAAATCCCTACTTCAACCAAACAGTACGATGTCAGCAAGGAACAGTTGCCCAACGCCTCCCAATTTTTAGTGATTGTCTAACCAAAGTCATTCCTTCATCTAAAACAACAAAGTCCACCATTTACACATCAGTCTTCTCAGCAGAATAGTTTTGACCATTGAATTTGTTGGAAGGCTGAAATCTGAATACATCGATCGGTTCATTTGTAATCAATTGGCTTTAATGGACGAGGTCCTAACTATTTGTACAACTTGGAATGATCATCCAAACACCGAAATTGACTTTATTTATTTTTCATACAGTCTACACATAGAGCCGATTTTTGGTATGCTGAGACAATCAGAAGTAGCCTAATGAGAAAGTTAATCTATGACACTCAGAAGTGACCTAAAGGAAAAGTGTATTTCGTTGGCTAAGGAATTGGTCAATTTCCTAAGGATAGAGTGGTATTTATATATACATTTGAATGAGTATTTTTGCAATATAATTTCTCGCTCGATCCTAGGCTCTTACTCCAGTAGTTAGTTGGAGGGCTAGCGTGTAGTACACTATGTATCAGTATAAGGTTTCGGACACCGCTCGTTACAACAATTTCAACCTTACTACTTCATATTACAAATGCATAAATCTTCTATATTCACATCTTGACGCACGAATTATTATAGTGATAGATCATACAATGGTATATACTACTTATGACAATATAAGTAGTAGTTTCTAGATTCAACTTGAATAAGCCTAAACTGACTTGATTACACGTTTACTATTAAATGTTCTTGAATACTTGATCCCTTGGTCGATCTCACCTCTTTATTTTGTTAGTCATCCTGTTACTTTTACAAATGATAAACGTATCCAACAGTTGCTTTTCGTATAACCGAACATATGAATAACCTTTCTTAACATATCTGACCATACGCAGGCGAATAAGAAGATCATCTATATTGTTAGTAAAAAGTGGAGATCTATTATATAATGACTTCTGATTGAACAAGTAGAGACCTATATGTACAGTGAACCACTTGTACAGAGTAATCATATTACACCTCGCCATTTTTAAGGTGAAAAGATTATTTATCTAATCGTAGTTTTGACTGGATTTCATTACTTATCACTTGCGAAGGGTATATATTTCCTATACCATACCACCAACACCATATGTGAAATCACAAAATAGATGAAGTTCTCTAATCTGGTATCGTTGGTTGGTAAAGATCAATTCGTATTGATACTGATAATCAATAACAGGCTATAAGACATACTTAAGGAGATTGACTGTTAACTATTTTGAAGTAGCTTATGTAGTGTTTGTGTATTCCAGAACTGAAAAACGTTTCTTGAATAGTTTCTATGAACAACTATTACTAAGCTTACTCATAGTATCTTTATTTTTGTTACTTAGTAGTAGTCAAGGCATGAGGCGAATTTACTTGACTGGTTTTTTTTGGGGGGGGGACTAAAACAACTGATTTTATTCCTACTGCCTGTCTGATCTGCATTCATACTAAACATTCAAGAAGTTAATCAACATTTACTCGAACAGTAGTATCCAGTGGAGAGTTCTGTCCAACAGAAAAAAAATTTTATTTGGATAAATTCATCTAATGTTGATGTGTCTGTAGACGACATACTTACTTACGCCTATTTCCCCTTCTGGGGAAGCATAGGCCATCCACCTGCACTCTTCATCCAACCCTGTCCTGGGCAATCATTCCCAGTCCCTTCCAGTTGTTATTCATCCTTTGAATTTCTGCTTCCAATTCCCGACGTAGTGTGCTCATCGGTCATTCTGTTTTCCGTTTTTTATCGGGATTTCAGTTAGGGCTTGCTTCGTGATGCAGTTTGATGAATTCCGGAATGTATATCCTATCAACTTCCAACATCTTTTCCTAATTTCCTCCTCAGCTTGAAACTGATTTGTCCTCTCCCACAGTAGGCTGTTACTGATGGCATCCAGCCAACGAATATTCAGTATCTTGCGTAGACAGCAGTCTATAAATACTTGTACTTGTTTGATGATGATTATAGTAGTTCTTCACGTTTCAGCCTCATGCCATAGACAGCATAGGGTTGTATTAAATATGCGTACGCCTCAGTACTTCGAACATAAATATATTTGAAACACTGCACGCGTTTCACAGGACAACCGAGTAAACAGGGTTAAAGCAATACAGATAGTACTAGATAAAGTTTTCAAATCGTCGACCATGTTTTGAATATTCATCAATTTAAATGTGTTACGTATACTCAAGCATCATCCGCCTGAACTAGTGATATATTTTTAGTATTGAAGTAAGCTACAAGAAAACTATGATCAGCCAAGCTAACATGTTTCTGCAGTCAATATGGTCACATATTAGAAGTCTTAGTCATATTTTTAGAAGCGTCAACAAGATAACTGCGATCAGTGGTTAGTGATTTATAATGCCTCTAACCCATTCACCCTTTTTCGTCCTTCAAGCTTTGAATATCGTTATTCCTGTATACAAACCATTCCACTCTATCTTAATAAACTATATTTACAATGATTAGTCATTTTACTGTAATTGTTACAAACCTATTTTGAACTCTTGAAGTTCATCTCTTCATTGTACTTTGTTATGAAAACTTCAGTTGATATACAATGAATGATCTAATCTTTGATCACTAAAGTCGTTGATCTAAACAAACGATAACTAATCTCATTGATGACATTGAAGAAGTTATGATTTTTCACTGCGCGACAGTTCATTCTGTTCTACTTTACGAATGCAAAACGAGGTCATTAAGAGTAGAAGACACTTGAAGCTACTAGTATTTGACTACAGATGACTTGGAAATATTTCTCGCAACTGCTGGGATCATCGGGTAAGTAATAGTGAGGCTAGATGACAGGGTATTAGGGAATGATGGTAAATCAGTTAATGACGTTGTGAATCTTCATCGACTAAGATGGTTGAGCCACGTGTTACGTATGCCTGAACACCGATTACCACGACGTGAAATGCTGACTAATGTTGAAAATGATTGGAAGAAGGTTAGAGGGCAGCCAAACCAAAACGTGCCATTAGTCCTTGAAGTCACTAACTTCTAGTCTGAGCCATGTTGGTAAATGCAGATTACTTGGTTGGGGTCCACGTGACTATCGTAACCAATGGTTGGAGACTCTTGGTGACATGGCTCAGAATCGATCACAATTGCATCGGTGTATACACTCTCTGTCTTCCCTTAAACTATGAGATTAAAATCTCTTCATATCTTTCTTTCTACGAACTAATTCTTTCTTCCTGTACTATATCCTTACATGTAAAATCTTTCTTTTATACATCATCACCACTGAATGAACTACTTTTATGAATCCGGTGTTCATTTTGTTGTGCTAATGAGGTATGGCAACTTGGACCGATGCATATATGTGCCTGGTTCTACGTTGTAACGGACTGATTGACTGAATTTTCAATTCATCAGTAATATTTAATAACTGAGTAAACAACATTCATTTATCAAAATTAAAATATTTTTTGCAATGTTTAATCAGATAAACATTAATATACTTATATAATTACATAAATACATCTAAATATTCAAGCATCTTTTCCAAGGACAACAACAACAACAACAACGATGACGAAAAAGGTGAAAAGAAAAGAAAGAAAATTTAAAGAGGTTTCGAAATGCATCTGTTTTAATGTAATGGGAAAACGTAAACAAAATGGATCTATTCTCCTCATAAAAGCTTCCCTTCTTCTTAAACCATAATTGAATACTGGCATTAGATCATCTTGTTGACATGGTAACTAATTGAAATCATATTAGCATCATGTACTATTCATGGATTCACTGTACAATAATCATGGTAGATTATAAGATAAATAATAAAACAATATTGAATATTTATAAATTATCTTTTATTCTATTTCATTTTTGAACGAGTATTCACTGATTTTATCACCCATTCTATTCCTTCCTAAAATAAAACACAATAAAATTTAATAGAAACCAATTATACTACTTATAAGTATATATGGATTTTGAAAATAGATAAACAATGAAGAATGATGAATATTATTATTTTATATATATATATGCTAACTAGTGACTGGCTTCAAGATTTATTTCCTGGAGTTCCAGTGAGAAACAGTGACCGGTGGAGTTCAACCAGATCTATTCTAAGATAGTAACATACTGAAGAAAATGATGAATTTATCGCTCGATTTCTTGGATTAGTTTAAGTTAAACATTAACACCATTGGATACTTGACCGGTTTAGTGGTCTAGATGTTAGGCGTTTGCGCACGAGATCGATAAGTTCTGGGTTTGAATCTCACAAGATAGGATTGTGGATGTGCACTGTTGAGGAGTCCCACAATAGAACGTAATGGCCATCCAGTGCTTCTAGGTTTTCCATGGTGATCTAGCTTCGATTGACTCATGATCTCAACTATTGAAATCCACAAAAACCCCTTCTGATATTTTTAAAAATGTTTAGCCTATTTTTTAATTTTTTTCGTTTTGTTTCGTCCAATTATATGGCTAGTTATAAATTCGCTATAATTAGTGATTGAGTAGTTAAAATTGATATAAAATGTAAGTACTTGTCCACAAAGCACTTTTTCTTCAAATTGTCTGTGATAGTAATGTACAAAGTAGTGTCATGTGTGTCAGGTCCTTCTTAGTACAGATCGAATGCTGTCGACCAAGTTGCAATGTGAACACATGGGCTCTATGATCCTGAAGGAACAAAGGGCGTATGAACCTATTGTTGATCACCGGCTACCATGGGACTGCATGTACTAACGTTGCCCCATTGTCTTGTGGATTATATATTCAAGTCAAAAAATCCGAACGTGCCACCCAACCAAAGAGAACCACCTGCATTGGTTTGGGCGTCCGGGCAGCATCACAGCTCTCACACAAATCAATGACAACTACTACTGACCACATTGTTATTGTATGGCGCATATATATTTGGTACCCTCTTGTACTAATGTTTATATGTTCAAATAATAATAAAAAAGTGTTTTGAAATGAAGGATAAATAAGTAGGATTTAGAATCTCATTGTCATATATACTGACTTAAAAAAAAACGTTTTTCCTTCTGAAACATGATCATAGAAAAACCAAACCAAAATAGAAGGACTAGACACGCATGACATTGATCGCCACCCAGTGATCAATCAATTGTGATTACAGCTCAGTTCTACAGGAGGTCGATCGCTGCTCGGATAGCTCAGTGGTAACGTCTCTGACTGTGAAGCTGGGCGACACGAAATCGAATCCACCAGGGAGCACCAGTTCCCCCAAGATTACAGGTACACCTTGCTGACGAGTGCCAAGTAGCACGAAACCCGGGCCCAGGGTTTCCTGTCAACTACCTCTAACCACCATCTAATCTCACGCAGTGTCGAGTCACCTGGGCTAGTGGCCACATTGCAACATGATCGATAGCATTCGATCTGCACTAATAAGGACTAGACAAGCATGACATTGATCGCCACTCAGTGATTAATCAATTGTGACTGCTGAGGAGTCCCATACTAAAACGAAACGGCCGTCCAGTGTTCCCAGGTTTTCCATGATGGTCTAGCTTCAATTGAATCATGAATTCAATCAGTGAAATTTCTAAAATCTCCACAAAACCCCTTCCGATATTCTTTTTTTATTCAATAATGAAAATTTTTATTCATAAATTTCTAAAGATTCTTTAAATCTTTGAAAGAAAATATTATTTGGGAAAATTTTCTGAAAAGTTTAATCGAATCATTAAATTAATAATAATAATAATAATAATAATAATAATAATAATAGTGATTTGATCACATTAAGTGTTGACTACAGCATAGTTACCATGGCAACATGAAAAGATGAAATATGAAACATAAAAAAAGGAAACAATATTGATTTTGTTTTTTTTTTTGTTTGTTTTTGTTTTCCTAATCAGTGAACGGTATCAAAGTGGAGTTCATTACGAAAAAATCCAGTAAATTTTTATACATTTTAATGAAACCTTTTTTTATATGTTGACTAAATTGTTGTCATATGAAAAACGTAAACAAAAAAAAAAGAAAAGAAAAAGAAAAAAACAAACAAAAGAAAAACGCCTAAAATAGATAATATTGATAAGAATGAACGTTATAAAATTTTAACTTGAATATAAAGATGAAGTGCTGAAAGTGGATAGAACACATATTGAAGAAAACATTCAACTATGTCATAATGCAAACTCTCAATTGGAATCCTCAAAGTCAAAGGATAAGAGGAAGACCAATAGAGAACATATTACGTTGAGAAATAGAGATAGATATGAGAAGAATGAACAAGGAATTGGATAGAACTAGAAAGGAAGGCCGGTCAGTGGCCTATGCTCCATTAGGGGTAACAGGCGTAAGTAAGTAAATAAGTAAGTGGGTAACAAAGAAGTGATTAATTGTAAACCAATAATCATGTCATCAAAAGAGGTTTTGTAGAGATTTTAGAAATTTCACTGGTTGGAATCATGAGTCAATTGAAGCTAGACTAACATGGAATACCTGGGAGCACTGGACAGCCGCCTCGTCCCAGTATGGGACTCCTCAGCGGTGCGCACCCACGATCTCGTCCCCTGTGAGACTCGAACCCAGGAACTACTGCTTTCGCGCGTGAGCACTTAACTACTAGACCATTGAACCGGCATCCAATGGTGTTAATGTCTAACTTCAACTAATCCACGAAGTTGCACCACCATACACCATTGTCTTCAGTGAGTTGATATCTCACAACCGACCTCGTTGAACTCCACGGGTTACGGTCTCTCATTAGAACTCAAGGAGTATCTCTTGAAGTTAGTTACTAGTGAGCAGATGATTATTATCAGAAGGGTTTATTTGTGAAGATTTTAGAAATTTCACTTCCAGGTTTTCCATGGTGGTCTAACTTCAGTTGACTCATAATTTCAATCAGTGAAATAATCATGTTGTCATGACAAAATAAAATCAATTGAAAAACCTAATTATTTTATGTGTGAAATATATTCACATAAATCTTTATTGTCATTATGTTGCTGTATTGGATCATTGAACAGTGTTGATTGACATGTAAGATGATAGATATTGATATAGATAGATAGTTTATAGTATTCAATATTCATATTATCTAAGAAACTTAAATACATTCTGTTTTCGAATAACTAGCTATATGATTCATTTGGCATTGTTTGCTTGAATCTTTCGATCGTTGTTAAAGACTGCAATTCATCAGTCATATGTTGACATATCTGCATCTTGTGCGGATTGTCTCGATATTGTCTTACGTCACAAGCTTTTTAAGTAAAGATGGATGGCAGCTTATAGTGGAATCCAGGACGTTGAATGTACCTGCATCCCAGAGTTGATGTTCACTCCGGGACTCAAGGCAGTTTGCACAAGATGTACATATGCCAAAAAGAGACTGATTAATTACAGTCTTAAATAACAAGGGGAAGATATAAGCAAATAATACTAAGTGAAGATAAACTTCACACAATGACTATCAGGACTCAGTAGCTAAGTGAATAACGCGATGGCGTTTGAAGCAAACGGTATTTTTGGGTTCGGGTCTCGAAGTGAACATCAACTCTGTGATTCAGGTACATCCAGCTGACGGGTCCCAAATAAAACATAGTGTCGCACATCCTGGATTTCATTACTAGCCACTACCTATCTTTGCTTATAAAACTGCCACATGACATTTAAAGTTTAAACAGCTGTAAAGAATCTATGACATAACTGAGTGGATATTGTTTCACTACAACTTATGTTATTTCTTTCTTGAAAACTGATCATTCAAATGTGAAACATCATTTCTTAGTGAGACAACTCCCGGAGCCAGGTCAGGTTAATCATCTATTTATTCACGTATCTTTCCCACACTGATCTGAAACCGGGAAATTGAGAACCAAATCGGAATTGAGAATAAATCGAGTAGTGTCCCAGTCGACTTGTCTTCTTTCACTCGCGTGCTTGTCAGCCAATCACGCGATAGAACAGTTTTCTTCTCTCTACTCCATTTCGAACTCACGCGTACTAGCCTCAAGGTTAAGCCGGCCACCCTATCGCGTCAAAGTCTTAATCTCTAGATTAGACAAGTCCTCAGAACCAAAAGTGGGTGGACAGATCAAGAACGTAACAGTTACAAATAACTGATTGTCAGTATTCATAAACATCAGTGTCATCTTAACTTGAATTATGAATACAACAACTTTTGATCTAATTATCGCAATTGTTTTATGTTGATATACTGGAAAATGATGTGTAACTACAATAGAGGGATCTACAGGTGTTAAATTTTTAGAAATGAATAGTTTAATTTGCCTTGGTATTGTTTACTTGAATCTTTCCATTGATGTTTAGCACTACAATTGATCAGTATGTTATTGGTATATTTGCATGCTGTGTGTATTGCCTCGATATTGTCTTAACTCTCAAGCATTCTAAGCAAAGATGGGTAGTGGATAGCAGTGGAATCCTGGATGTGCAACATTACGTCCTATTTAGGACTCGTCAGCTAGATGTACCTGCATACCATAGTTGATGTTTACTCTGAGATTCGAACCCAGTACCGTTCGCTTCAAACGATATCACGTTATCCACTTAGCTACTAAATCCTGATAGCCACCTGTTTTTGCGATGTGAAAATCAAAGTGAGCATCAACTCTGAGATGCAGGCACATCCAGTTGATGAGTCCCAAATAGGACGAAGTGTCATGTGTCCTGGATTTCACTGCTAGTCACTATCCACCTTTGCTTAGAATAGTTTAATTGTTTCGTCTTTGGATAATACACTATTGACACAAAGACAGAGTCCGGAAATTTGCATACATATATATAAACTTTGAGTATCGCACATGAGTAACGCTGATAGAGAAATATTTCATAAATAATGAACCAAGCTCCTAAAATTCAAAACAAATATTTCAGCTTACTTGTACACCATTGCCAGTTAAAGCTGAACAGCCTTGAATTTGCCATGGTCTATCTCGAATAGTTAGTAATCCAAGCCCATCTGATATTCTGTTTGCTGGTTCGGCAGTGAGCAGGTCCTGTTTGTTGGCGAACACTATTAAAGGAACTCCAGCTAATTTATCTTCTGATAAAAGTTCCAAGAGTTCCTATGAGGGAAATACATTCTATGAAACAAGAAGTATAAAAATGGGCTAAATAATCGGTCACTTTAAGGAAATATTTTTATCTCATCTGAGGTAGTAAAAGCAACAGAGGATTCCCGTGGATCCTTTGGTGCTTTTGGATAGTAAAAGATTTTGCACTATCCGGGGAAATTTTACAGTTCAACTTCAGGTTCAAAAAAAGTTATCTAACTTGAAAAACATCGTACACGAAGGTCAGAGAAACAAGTTAAGATTTATAAAGCCACCTGATCGAGTCACTTAAGTAAAGAACTAAATAGCAATAAAATATCAATCACTTGTCAGCGAAATTAAAATTGCGGGAGCAAATTTATGTGCTACAAATGCATAGGAAACTATCATGAGCCACCTCTTTTCATTAATTTTTAAATAAAGGGATGAAGTTTTTTCGAGAATTCAACTCCAATGTTAGTTTTAGATACTGTTTCATCACTGGAATAAACTAACTGTTCCGTAGACCTTTAAACAATAGCAACATTATTGGCATGAGACTCAGGTATCTTACAATATGCAGCAAATGAAACACAAAGTAATCAACAAGAAACAGGAGGAACAAATATTTAAAGAATAGGGTAGATGGGTGATATAAGTAGGTTTTGTATCACCCATAGATCTCAAAAGCCGCAACATTCCTTGATATCACATCCACCTTCAATTCTTTAGAGTTGTTTGATATTGAGTTTTCATTTACTAGGCGTATTTACGTAAACCGATTTAATACTATCGAATTCAAGTGATTTTAATACATTCACACAAATGTATAGTATTTTAACCTAGCCATCAATAATTCGTGGGATATTGCTGTCAAGAAAATTTACTGTATAGATCAGCCATGAACAAAAAGACATACTAGTTCAACATTAGAATTTTCCCGAACAAGGGAACAAATATATGCTGAACACACCTTGATAAACTGTTCATGATTAAAGTCTACAGTTAATGAAAACACTGTGAATTACAGCTGTACAAAATACTTTTATTGAACCATCAAAGATATTGTGAATAAATTGAGATTTAGTTGTCAATCACTAAAACGGACTGAATTATCTTGTTTGGATATTTGTATGGATATTAATGAGCGTTAAAAATTTACCCCCTTTTCTGATACACTTAAATCACTAAAGCACTTGGTTTTTAGCCAGTAAACTGTAGATTTTTTGCTACTTTCCATCTACTTCAGTTTTTTTAGGCAAAGGGTATCACTATACATCACTATGAAAGACATGGAGTTAAGTAAAGTAAATAAATCTGCACTTTGTACACCAAGTAGCTGATCTTTTGTGCCAAAAGTTCGAATAAGGTGCATCATTTTGCTTGTATTTTATACCAATAAAACTTTAATATCTGTCTAAAACACGATATGTTGGAAAACCACATTTTTCCTTCATTCCACTTAAAATTGGCCTGTAGTTTCCGAAGACTACCTATTGCTGTCGCTTGTAAATGATCACCAGTGCCTATGGATTATTGCTCAGTCAGTCAAAGTGCTTGATGATGAGGAGCAATTCAGCGACACTAATATTAGGCTTCTTTAAAAACTATACTCAGAGTATATCTATCAATCACACAGGTCGTTACTAAGTAGACGATATCAATAATTAGTATAGTGCATTCAGGTTTTCTCGGAGCTGAAAATAGTATGAACACGGTAACGTATTATGAAGTGGTATGGATGCATGACTACGTGTCTTAAACCAATTAGATCCATCAAAACTAGCTACGTTGGGAGCGCAACTTGAAACCCATTAAAGCACTCATAATGGGAAATTATTTACTGACTTATTCAGTTTGCAGCTATTACGATGTGAAATGTCCAATTTGATCTAGAACAGAAACTAATTATGATTTCTAATCACATTCTTCATAAAATTAAAGGAAACCGAATTATATGAGAGAAGTCTATATTAGGTATCTTAGGTAAACTGTTTATATAATAAAAATCATTCTAGATCAGATTTTCATATTCGATATATTTTAATATGTTTTGAAACTAAGTAAATGAATTCACCTCTGGGCTACAATGAACATTCGAAATGTTACAGGTCGTTCGTCCAGTTGGTTGAGATAACGGTTGTAAGACTAAGTCGATGTAGACTAAGAGAGCAACAAGAATAAAAGTGTACCCAAATAAAATGGGCAAAAAAATGTGACAGAAAATTAGCGAATTAACTGAAATAATGCTTTTTAAAATGGCATAGGATTAGTGGCGAGAAATTTCAACATATTATGGGATGGTACAAAGGCAAGATTAGGGAGTATGAAAACGTCTACTTATGTTTGTGAAAATACAGATTCCTAACAGTTACTTTAGAAATTTTGAGTTGTTTTTCATTATGGACTATATAGTCAGGTACCATCGCCCATAACTGGTCCAATAAACTTTATGATAACCGTCAAATATCAGTGAATAAACAAAAAAGCTATAAAAGACAAATGGATGATAGGGGTTGGCAAATTTTATCACCGTAAACAAAGTAGTCCTTTTAGCATGTGGATATTTTAAAAAAAACAGAACTCACCTCTCCGGTCTCCTCAAAGCGCTTTTTATCTGAACTATCGATCACATAAATCTAGGATCCTATAAAGAGGAGAAGAAATAATTACCAATATATCTGTATTTTCAAAGTAGTTTTTCCAATATGGGCGAATTTTTCGCTGTCCTCCAATATCCCAAACATTTAGTTTGAACCCTTGTGACTGAACGCTTTTGATGTTAAATCCCTGAAAAAATAATAAATAATTTTGTAAGTACTTGAGTGGGAGTTGTTTGAGTTATGTCTTCAGATGCCAAGTGTTTAAGCAAAGTTGTCTTTCCTGCATTATCTAGACCAAGAAGAAGAATTCTTATTTCTTGTTCTGGTTTGGATTTCAATCTCCTTAAAAGACTTAACAAGCCCTGAAAGGTTATTACATAACAGTCGTCATTAATAAAATGCTACCATTACACAAGTTGACAAACCACTACTGGTTGTTATGACAACAACAACAATTAAATAGGCCCAATATCCAATTTATTTGTGACTAGCTCATATAAACCTGTCGATTTCTTTTCACTCGTTTTATGTCATTTCGGCATGGTCATAGGTATTTATAACTCAGGGGAACTGAGAGAAGATTGCTGTTGGTCCTTACTTTGGCTACCTCTAAATTCTAGTACTAGGGACACGACACACGTAAGACGGCTCCACAAACAAATAGTCGGACCATCAAAAGTTTAGACCAGACTAAACATGTAGGTGAAGCCACGAGATGAGATAAAGGCAGAAAATCCTCAAAATTAAACCATCCATCATCAAATGATCGGTTAATAGTCGAAGATTTTATGTCCAAGCACAAACGGGATGTATTGACCTTGGCTTAGACGGCATTTAACGTGGTCATAAACGAGGTACTTCGGGGAGAGCGACGAGAACGCTCCCTATATTCTTTATACTAGGCCAGTCTACACGATCACCAGGAGGTACCCTCAGCATGTTGTATATTCATAAGCGTGGTGTAAGCTAACAGCTGTTGACCACTTGGATATAGTGAGGATTATGAATCGGAAATCTACCCTACACAATATACCTTTAACAAAGTACACTCCTGTAAAGAATAGATTGTGTGTTAAGTAAGGCGTTGGGTGCTTTCTACATGTTATAGGAGGATAAGAAGTGATCTGAAAACGGTACTCAACATTCCAAGTACCTCAAGTCACCCAAACATGAACACCCTACTGGAATATCATTATCACACACCTTGGGTTGACCCCGAGCACTTGCACACGAAGAGCAAAAACCCACTAATTACTTCGATTCCACATCCTTGCACATTATCAGTTAGGCAAGTTAATTATTTATTCTTGAAATAATCATCTCTTAGCACTTGAATTACCACTTTATTATTCTCATATTTCAATGAACTGACTTATCTCCTGGTAGTTCAATGTATGGTGGTACTAGAAACTGCGATACCCTGAGAAAAACGCATTTACTCGAATTAAAAAACTTACAAATCGCAGATTCAAAATAGTTCAAATGGTTCAAATGGTTATGGATGGAATAGAAGAAGCTTTCGCTTAACAGGCTTCCGTGTTTATTAGCAGTGGATCACCAAAACCTCCAGGCAGGAACCTAGGTATATTACCTATAGTAGATTAAAAAAAGAAATTGGTAATTCATAATAAGATGTTGCCCTTAGTCCTTAAGAATAGGTCAAGTTTCCTCTCAAGGGACCCATGGGAAGTCGTTTGGACTGGTTCAGCCGGCAGCGAATTCCAACATTTGACAAGTCTTAAAGAGCAGAAGTTGTGTCTACAGTCCGTTCTGCTGTGGTATCTCTCTAGTTTCTAGGTGTGCTACCCCTTAGGTTTGTGTTGGGACTAAGCTTAAGTAGGTGTTTAAGGGGATGTCCAGCAGTGTTATAGATACTGTAAGCCATCAGAAGGTCACCTCTAAAACGCCTATACTCTAATGGGTAAACGTTAAGTGATTGAAGGCTCTCTTCATAAGGTTTGAATCTGAGTCCCCGAACTGCTTTTGTGGCGCGTCATTGGATACGTTCCAGAGTGACCTTATCCTCTTGGAGTGAGGGAGGAAGTACTATGTTTCCGTACTCTGAATGGGGACGAATAAAACTGTTAAAGATTATATGGAAAGTTCTTCCGTCAAACTGGCCAAAGATTCGCTTAAATGTTATCAGTGCAAGGTTTGCTCGAAAGGCATTTCTGTCACAGTTAGCGTAGGACTTCAAATCGTAGGGCACCAAGACCCCTAAATCTTTTTCGACTTGTTGTAACTGTAGTCTGCAACATGTCGCAGATGGGCTACTTTACACTATGAAGTGTTAAACCTATGTCCGCTATCGTCTGCCCAACATTGAAGTCGAGTAAGATTTGTAGTGGCATTGAACAATAACCGCACAATCCACAAAGCTGAACACGAGACGACTCAGAAAATAGATATTCAATATTTAACGCGGATAAATACCTAAGGATGAGAAGGGCGCGAACAATGAATTGAATGAACTGGGTTTGATTGGATGGCATGGCTCGGCCATGCATGCGTGGTCTGTCTGAATGTTGTCTTATATATTCTATTCACATTAGATATATTGTTCCTTCTCTAGCCTAACCTTGTTCTACATAATGTATTGGTAATTGATACGATACAGTGAGTTGGCGTAGTCGATGGTGTGACTTCCACGTAAGATCTTATAGATTAGGCAGTCATATCATGACAAATCTACAATTTCAGGATTAGGTCTATTATTAGAGCAGTACTAATATCGTAGTAGACCATAATTCTACATTGGTAAGCCCGACTAGAGGAACGCAACCTAATATTGTTAATCTTATTTCCATTCTAAATTTCTTGATCTATTTTGTATTTATGTTAACCCAATATTCTAACAGTCCTGATTAATACTCACATGTATTATCGTGATGTTATACTGATTAGTTCTCATGACATAATAGCTCAGTCGATTATAAAAACTGGTCGTCTATATTAACTAATTAGCTTTGATGGTTCGTTAACAAGCCTTAATAGCATTTACATGCTTCAGCGACATAGACTTGTTTAAGCATCAAGCTCTAGCAAATATGACCTGTAAATAACGCAAATATGCATTGACTAACAATGCGATCAAGGACTAAATAGTTACCTGGATCTAATATTCAGTGTTCCTTATCTTATCACCTCATCCTGTTTTAAACTATGCACTATCGTGTAATATCTTTTCTTCCGACCACTGCCTGCCTAATTTCATATTTTCGAGTTCCATTGCCAAACAACAAGGATGACACTTCTCCAAAAACATACGGTGAGTTCCAGCTATAAGTTTTCTGCAATCATAAGTTCATTTTAGATGGCTCATTCAATGGCACACACAGTTATCTGGATTCATTCGGTTGTTCTGATCCGAGCGAGTGGCAAAAACTTCAACAGCATCAAGCACCCCGGAATTAATTGCCATACTGCATGTTTTATTCTGGATACTTTTGGATCATTACTACTCACGAATAACGTTATATATGTCGTCCACTGAATAATCTAATTTTCAAAAATAACCCAGGCGAGTTCAACTATTTTACTTAATGATTTTTTGTACTTAACATGTATGTTTTCCGGTTCCTTTTGCCATATATTTGTAAGTGTCCCTAGGCTAAATGCAGTAACTTCTTTATAATGTTTATAACGCGTCATCTTCCTGCCTGAAGTTTCACAAGCAGTCTAAACTTTAAAATTATTTTTCGGGTCATGTTCATTATTTTTAAATTGTCATATACGTCAACAACCTGCATGTTAACCTGGCCCATACATACGTTACACTATATCTCCATGTCTTCTAAATTTAGAAATCATTTGGATCGCCTTTAACACTTATTAATAAACCCATCATAGTCGTTGTTGCTAATCGTATTTGGGTTTATGGATTGGCTTATCATATCAGCAGCCTAAAATGCGGACATAGTTTAGATAATAAGGTTAAAAATTTAGGTATTATCAACTGCACTAGTTAAATAACCAAATCCCTAGGTAGCTGTTGGCTAAACAAACGTTTAAAATCAAAACTCCGTAGCCTACTAGAATTAACACTAAACGAATCTTTCTGAATTAAAACTTATAATTAAATTAGGCGTCTCGGATTCTTTAACGTTACAATTTTCTGATAATTTCGAATCACCTAAAGCAACAATACCTGTTTTTCCACTGACTAATCCTCATTCAACACTATAACTAGTTAAACGTAATAGTTTCAGGATATCGTCATAAAGCATTGTCATGACTTGACAATCACGTAATATGATTGATAAAATTAATGAAACTATTAACAAAATCGGTCAGCAAATTGACTTACAATTATCACTAGTGTTGTTTTTCTTTTATCTTCATTCACCACAGATGATTACAGTATGTTTCTCTATCAGTTGCTTATTCAGTAAATATCTCAAAACCTTGTCAGTCTAATTGGAGGTTTAGCGACACAATCATGCATGCAAATAATCAGTATAAGCAGTCGAGCGAATCTCCTGCAAACTGAAAACATCAATGTCGAATTTACCCCAACACTGACTAAGGTTCAAGCCATTATCATAGACATGGGTGGGGAGTGTACTCCCCCTGGTTACAACTTATGTTCTCCCTGATAATCACATGAGCATCACTCACTATTAATCATCTTGTAAAAACTTATTTAGCTAAATACATCTTGCAGCACCACATCACTTCGTAATATGACACAGGCCTAACTGATTTTAATAACTTATAATCACTATCTCTCAATTAAATCGTTTTCCGCCTTATGATAAACTGCATACTTGCAACTAACTGGTATGCACCATCAGCCGGCAAGTATAAATATGTATAAATAGTCTGTCGCAGATCAGAACATTGAGTCTAGAGCATGTCTCTTACGAACACACTCGTGTTTAACGATTTTTCCTAGCTATCTGTCCAAAATCCATATAATTATCACTCATGTATTTAAATTTTATTTTGATAACCATTCATGTGTATTAGTAGTATTACTAAATTCTATCACGGTCAAGTAAAAATGAGGTTGAGAAAATTTCCCCGTAACTAAACAAACCGTATCAAACTAACTGGAACACTAGTTGGAATTCTCCACGGTAATACTTTTGTTCCTTCAGTTAGCCTACTAATACAGATGCAATTGGAATTCAACTCATATGGACAACTTACCGGCATAATCGTTATTTGATTTCATAATTTAAACCAAAACTAATACCAATATTAACATTTCTACAATATTCATTACTTTAATATTTCTAAACACAAAATACTTACTACCTAAACGTCAAGTTATTAACCAACGGCTATTAACACGCATTGTTTTATTATTATTACTGTAATCCCATTTTTTATAGCTCAAATAATCTTCACCCAAATTTTCATTTCAAGCGTTTTAAGCATGAAGGCAGATATTTTAAAATTATTACATGTATTTCCCGACCAGATGCTGCCGCCTTCTTTTT